TCAAACGTCAATGTTTTGTAAAGTCTGAAAAAAACAGCAAATTATCCGTTATAATAATGTTTGTTTTAAACCTTTTTACTGCAATTATAGTTCAGATTAAAATTGTAAATTAAAAAAAAACTTGGAACGTTTTTCTTTTTTGTACTGACTTTCGAAGAAGTGTGGAATATCTATGCTGTTGTGGTTTTTTATTCAGTCAATTTTCGATTTGTTAACTAAGCGTTTTTTTCGCTACTTTTTATACCATCTGAAATATATTAATGTCTTGAGCTCAAGTATGAAAAGATATTTAACCTGTGATAAATTTTCGTAAATATATGGGCGTTTGAAAATTGCTAGTTTGACAAATTTGGGATAATTAAAGAGCGATTCAGTGCGTGCTCATAATACGCGCAAGAGAAGCAAACCGATGCGTCCCAAATTGAATTGTGGTCAGCCGTTCAACACAATTATCACAAAACGAGACGCTAAACAAAGCCTTGAAAATTAGCCTTAATCGCAGTCGGAACTTTCAAGGCTTTTGCTGATATAGGAGCAGTCATGTATAAGTCTTGTGTTTGGAGCTTTGCGACATCTATTCACTTTTTCTTTTTGAATTTTCTTTTCAAAATACTTTCAAAGAAATCAATCACTGAAACACAATCTTTTTAGAAGGTCCGAATAAAACTTCTGCTGCGATTCGCTGATCATTTTTATGTTTTTAAGGTATCTGCAGTAGTTAGGCAACAACATCATGATGTTAAAACTGCTCAGAGTTTCTTGTATTGGTTGTTAGATTTCCTCCGCAATGTGCAATCTAAAAAAGTGACAATTTTTAGCTGTTAAACTAACCACTTATATTGGCTTGGTTACTTCCTATGGCGTCGTTTGCTGGTCATTGTATAAATAAGAAATACAACTTTTTTGTCTGAGTTTTCGCGCTGTTAGATATAAGTAAAACTGTGTAGTAAACAGTTGATTTTTTCACAGAGCAAAGTTTTTCTGCATTATGATCTTCATTTGTCTTGCCTAGTCAAAAGCTTTAGAGATATAATTTTTTTGGTTCAATTACTCAGAAAAAATTCTTTGTGGAAAACTCTAAACTCTTTTTTCAAAAGTACTTTGACGAGAAGAAAATTGACAAAAAAGAAATTTATTATTTTGGTCTCATTATATATACTCTAGCATAAAAATTGCAATTGCAATTAATGGCGTAACATGACGCAGGCTGGTTTCAATTCATTCTTTTTCCAAGGTACAATTTACATTGGAGGACAGAGTTTATTTGCAAGGATCATCGTCACATGACACAGGGTGTTCTTAACTATTTCCTGCGCAAAGATTTTTTACTCACTCAGCTTAAATACTTCGAAATTATCTAAGTAAGGGTATTGAACCTAGTTTTTGACGTCTCAAAAATTTTGAAACGCAACGTACTGCAAAAAAAATCACTGTCAAGATATTCAGATCAGAATTCAATTCAAAGCTTACAATCAAAAGTGAATAAGGCACACAAAAAGAACTGAGATTATTGAAAGAAAAACTAGAAGATTCAAGCCAGAAAATAATTGAAGAAAACTTTGACGTTTTTTTTTCAGACAGCATGTGATAAGAACATTATTTGATTAGTTTGAGCAGAAAGTTTTTAGAATATGGTTGGTTACAAAATAATTAAAAATTAATGAACAAAGCGAAGGTTGACTTGTTTAGAGTCAAGACACGATATTTTTGAGGGCAATACATTACTGAGAATTTCAAAAAAACATAGATAAGTAAAAAAGTGTTCTGTTGCTAACTGAGGACGCACAAAGATTCAAAATAAAACGAAATATCTTTTCTCCTTTTTTTTGAACAACAGGAAAGAGACTCAGTAGGGGAACAAGTGCTGGATCAGTGTTTGGGATCAGAAAACCTTCCTGATGAAAATTGGAGTAAAGACTTTTAGTTGGTGTAAAACACTTAGAAGTTGAACTCGAAGAGACTATTGATTTATATCAAGCCAGTAACAGATATGAAAAACAAATGAACTCCAATTGAGTGAGTTCTGTGACTAGTGAAAATTTCCGGAAAATTACATTAAAACTTTTTATCTGTGGTCCGGGCTCCGCAGTAACTCTTTTAAAAGTTTTATCGAGTCTGTTGTAAATTATCGTTTCCAATACATGTAACAGCTGCAAAACATCATGCTTTACAAGTCACTGGACAGTTTTTTTTGAGTACTGCTAAGATTCTTCTTGCTTTGAATTTTTGTTTCGCCATATAATTTGCAACACCATTAAAATGAGAAATCAAGGCACGAGTAGAAAACGGTAACGCGTGCTGCGTAATAGCCAATAACTTTCCCATCAACAATCAGCTCTTTTTAATTTTTAGCGTACTTTGAATAAAATTGTTTGCAAAATACATCAAACACAAAAATAAGACCGCCAGCATTTTAAAAAAAAAAGCCGAAAATTTGAAGCTATTTTGGTGAGTTAAATTTACTAAAACAAAAGAACATATTTTTTCCAAAACAAAATGAAAAACTTTCTCGTTTTTCCAGTTTCATTTTCTATTGTTTTAGCAATTAATCTCGTTTTATAATTGGTCTCATAGAATTGTCGAGTGCAAAATTTTTATCGATATGTTTTTTAAAACTCAAATTAGGCTCCGTCAGTAACGTTTTTTGGAAAGACGTTTTGGCGCTCCTTCGTTAGTTTAAACTGTTTTTGGCAAAAGTTAAAACTTCTTTGCAAAATGGATAAAATTGATTGATGAATCTAGAAAAAAGTACCAAAGAAAATTACTTTCCTTTGCTTCGATTAGGCGCACAGTCCTAAAATGAAGATGGTTCTGAACGGGGCCTAGGAAATTAGATGATAAGCAAATTAGACGGATGCTACAAAAACAAAATTAGACGGAATTTATTTTTTACAGATCTGGCATTTTAGACGAAAGGCAAAGGGCCAACAAAAATTTTTCTTAAAAGTCAAGTTTCACAAACACAAAAAGAACATAAAATGTCAATACCTATCAAAACAATTAGTTTAAATGAACATAAAATGTCAAATCAGAATATTACAGGAGAGTTTCGAATTGAATAAATTATGCATGATTGACTTGTAAAGTTTTTGGCCACCGAAGTTGAACTGTTGTCTACAAACAATTTTATTTTTCTAACGCAATTTGTGTGCAAACAAAATTAATTTCTCTCACTTTCGTCTATTTTCTCACAATTGCAGTTTTGCAAAACCGTCTAATTTCCTTTTAAGTACCTCCGTCTAATTTGCTTATCGTCTAATTTCTCAACCCACGTTCTGAACCTATGCAATTCTATGTCATCACATATTAAATGACCGGTATTTGAAAGCGGTATTTGGAATCAAAGCTTTAATTTTTACTTAACTTTAGAGAGATGAAACCTAAACTTGCATCACTAAAGAGAGCATTCTAATCAATAGCGCACTCCTTACAGAGCTGTAAACTTGCATTCCCCCTCAAAAAAGGCAAACGAACGGCAGCCATACTCGGAAGAAGGAACCTAAACTCGGAAACGCGCCTCAATTTTTGTTCTCGCAAGACTTACAAAAAATCGCTTTTTTTCTAGTAGCTTTTTATAGCTTTAATCTCATCCAACAAATTTGAATTATGATGAATGAAGGAAAAAGCTGCAAATTGATAAGATAAGCTAGCTATACTCATAAAACTTGGCCGAGAATTTTTTCGCTGTCGTCAACATGTGTTTTAAGGGCGGATTTTCATTAAAAATCCCACAAAATGAGTAAAAATTTAAACTCTTCTTTTCAGCAAAATACTTGAACGAAAAGAAATCTGGCGAAAAGAAACATTTTGTTTCTTAGTTCATTATAGTCAAGCATAAACTTAGCAATTGCAAGTAATGCTGTCACCTATCACAGGATGGTTTCAATTGAGTTTTTTATCATCTTTTATCAAGATAAAATTTACATGAGAGGAAAAGTTTTATTTGGAAGGAATACCGTCACGTAACACCAGGTGGTCTAATTTTTTTCCAGTGCAAAAAATATTTTTACTCACATCGGCTTAAAAAATTTGAAATTATCTAAGTAATGGACTTCAGCCTACTTTTTTACATTCACATCTCAAAAAAGTGAAAAGCAACGTGCTGCAAAAATTTATTGTTAACATATGCAGTTCAAAAAGCAAATCAGAGGGTTGTTAAATCTTGGTTGGTTACAACAGCTGCGACTTATAAAATATTAATGAACAAAGCAAGAGTTGACTTGGTTAAACCCAAGGATTTAGAGGCTACTCACGACCTTTTTGAGGCCAAAATTCTTCAAAGCATCAAAAAATTGAAAACCACATAGATTAAGTAAACATCGCTCTGTTGCTTAGTTACGACGCGAAAAGATTCAAAATAAAAAGAAACATCATTTCTTTTCGAACAGCAGGAATTAGACTTTCTTTGTAGGGGAACAAAAGCTGGAACAGTGTAACGAATCAAAAAACCTCCCTGAAGAAAATCAGAGACAAAACTTTTAGTTAGTGTAAGAAGAAGCAACTAGAAACGTGAACTCGAAGAAAATTTTTGGTTTAGATCAGGCAAGTATCAGTAATTGAAAACAATTGAAAGTCCAATTGATTGAGTCCTTTGTCTAGAGTGAAAATGTCCAGACAAAATGTCCAGACAAATGTCCAGAGATAAAGTTCGTGTCTGCGGTCCGGGCTGTACTTCTTTCAAAAATTTTAATGACTATGTTGCATACAATCGTTTCTGATACATGTGGCAGCTGCAAGACTTCACACTGGACGAATCACTGGACAAATTTCTTTCGAATTTTGGTAAGAATGTTCTTGGTTTGAACTTTTGTTTTATCTTGCTTTGAAGTTTTCGTTTTATCATATACTTTGCAACACGATAAAAATGAGAAATCATCTGATTTTCGTTTTTTTTTTAATATTTATTTTTAACGCGATTCACAGTGTATTACTAGTGTATTACGAGTAGAAAACGGTAAAGCGTGCTGCGTAATAACCAATAACTTAACCATCAACAATCAGCTGTTTTTCATTTTTATCGCAGTTTGAACAAAATACTTCAAACACAAAAATAAGACCGCCACCATTTGAAAACAAGCCGACCATTTAAAGCTATTTTGGTGAGTTAAATCTACTAAAACAAAAACATATTATTTTCCAAAACAAAATGAAAAACTTTCCCGTTTTTTCAGTTTCAACTTTCTTTTGATTTAGTAATGAATCTTGTTTTATAGTTTGTCTCATAGAACGGTCGAGGAAAATTTTTTAATCGATATGTTTTTGAATACCCAAGTTAGGCAAAAAGTGCTCCGTCGCAACAGGAAAAGTTTATGGGAGGAATTTTCAGCGCTCCTTCTGAAAATTATTAGAAAGTGTTTTCGAAAACTTCTTTGGAAAAATGGTGAAATTGGTCAATTGGCAGTGAATTTATTTATAAATAATACCAAAGAATACAAAATTACTTTGGTTGCTTAGGGCATCCAGTTCCAGAATTAAGGGGGGAGGCTCTGAACACCATCCCTCTAAATAACCTACTAATGTTGGTTGACCGTCTTTATTTGAATGGTAATACTGAAAAAAAAGGTTTATAATTTTATACTGATTTAATTCAAATTTCCGGCAACTCTAGGTCACAATATATTTCAACGCCGATGTAGGGAATTGTTTTAACTTTTTTTCATTATCGAGATTTTTCATTAATTGTTAGTTAAGTTTAGAGCGAGCAAAGCCACTCTAACTCCACGACCTAAACTTTCGTCAGTAAAGGGCTTCCTAGCCATGCTGGTTTTGATTAGCCTCGAATAAAAAACAGCACCCTACTACAAAAAAAGATATAACGAACGGAGGCCATGCTCGATGGAAAAAATCTAAGTTTTGCAACCCCGACTGATTTTTTTTGTTCTGGTTAAACTAACAAAAAATCTTCTTTTTTTTGGGTTTTTCAAACAATTTTTTTAAGAGTTAGATTACTTCTGCCGACCTAATAACTAAACATCTTTAGTTCACTTTTCGAAATAAATTTAAAAAACTCAAATTTTTATAATAATCTTTCAGAAATCTTCAGGTTTTTGAACTCAGGTGCATTTTTTAACCATTTAATATCTCGTAGGTCTCATGTAAGATTCTTAAACGATTTTGCATTTCCTTTCACCTTATTGCGTTTTTTAATAGAGAGTTTTTTTTATATGCTTTTAGCAAACATCTGATATTTTACCTTTCGTCTTTAATTTTCCATTTATTCAATCATAACAAGCCTAAGGAGCGTTAGTAATTTTTCTGATGACTTGAAAAAAAAATCATAATTTGTTTTCAGTTTTTATGAGATTTGTTAGGATTTTGAATGTAACTAAATCCCGTATATGTGAGGGTTTTAATTAACCTGGTCTCGACTCTAAAAAACTCAAGGACGAATCTTTTTTTCATGACGCGTTTTAAATTATCGAATTTTAATCAATTTTATCTCATAAAACTGTAAATTTTGTCAAAATCAAATTTCGGGGTGGGGGTGGGGGAGATTATTGTACGGTGATCCCTTTGTCCTGATATATGAGGAGTCTTTTTTGTTTTTAGCTTGAAATGGACGTTGCAGTTTGCTTGTCATGTAGCGATTCCTTTCAAAGCACCCAAATGTTTCGGTGCTCGAGCTGTTCAGAAATGCAGGAAGAAGACGGCGCGACAGCTGAAGCGAAAATTTGCGAAAGCTGTGTTGACGATCATATCAACCGGGGACATTCAATCTTGGATTCCAATGGAGAAGCCCAGTCAGTTTGTGTGGAACACAAGCAGCGTTGCCTACTTTTTTGCAGCACTTGTGGAACATTAATTTGTTATCAATGTCTCGAATTGCACGAAGACCACGAGTTGAAAACCATTGAAGAGAACGAACATTTTGCGCTAAAAACAGTAGCCCACGCACTAATAAATCAGATAGAAAATGAAAACGAAAAAACATTATCTTTCAAAAAAGATGAAATATCTTTAAAAATTCAAGAAAAACAAGCAAAAAATGGAAATCTGATGCTCTTCGTTGAACAGGAATTCGAAAGATTTAAAAACAACTTGGAAAATAATCTTAAGGAAGAGTTGGAAGAAATGAAAGCAACTGAAAAAGAGTTGAGCTGCAGCATTGATAGCATAACGGACTTGAAGGCCAAATTGAAAAACCTGCT